TAAAACTTGTATTCCTTGCTAAATTCTATTATAGAAATCTGCTGTGGAAAGACTTTCAGTAGCATCCGTAGCAGGTTAATTTTTAATTTCTCTCTTTGGGGTTAATCAGATAACCTGACATTTTCTTCTTTCTACTCTTGCATACCCAGAAGTGAGAGCGTCAGCATCTTGCAACCCATAAGGTCCTATGTCTTTGTTCAGACTTAAGGAGTCAGACTTGTAAAGAAGAGACTAAGGGTTAGTTTTAAGAGAGGAAACTTGATGGGGGAGGCCCCATCATCATTTGTCCTGCTGTTAAAACACAGACCGCAGAGAGGCCCTCGGTTGCTTGTAGGCCAGGGTCCCAGCTCTCTTGCCCTGGGGTGTGGGTGTGCTGTGCTGTTGTCTTGTGAGATGCAGGTCTTCAGTCTCTTCCAGCTCAAGTCTCTTCTCCTCTGTGGTGGATGGAAACAGTGATGACCAGGGAAGATCTGGGTGTTGATTCAGTCCCATTGACAACCTTATCACTTGTTTTTCTGAACACAGTCCCTGGACTCATTAGTACTGTTAAGTGCTCGGCTTAAGAAGTCTGTTAAGAAGTCTCTGTGAATATTGTAAAATGTATCGTTTTCATGATATGATTCTGTGTTTTTCCAATATTCAAAATATTAGTGGCTCTGTGTTAATCATAGGATTAAATCTGATCTTTTTAGTCTGACTTCATGGCCTTCCACTATCTGACATGACCTTTCTCTTCCATGTTTTCTCAATATAGAGAAATCATATAGGGAGTTGGGTCTAGAGAGAGAATAGGGAAGGGCTGGGAAGGCAGGAAAATCGTGCTGTTAAAGTTATGACGACTTTATTATAAAGGAGTTTCTTAAACTTGTGAATCAAAGGAAATTTTTTGGTCATAAAATGAGTTTGCTTATCAGCAACTTTTATTTTCTATCTAACCTGACGTTACGTCTTTCTTTTTCTTCTAGTTTTATTGAGATGTAATTGGCATATAATATTGTATTAGTTTAAGCTATACCATATGGTGATTTCATATGTGTATCTATTCTGAAATGATTACCATAGTAAGTTTAGTTAGCATCCATCACCTCACAGTTACAAATCTTTTTTTTTTCCTTTGTGATGAGAACTTTAAGGATCTACTCTCTCAGCAACTGTCAAATATACAATACATTGTACAGTATTGTTAACTGTAGTCACCATGCTGGACACCACACCCACAGGACTCACTTGTCTTATAATTGGACGCTTGTCTTGTTTGACCGCTTCCACCCATTCTCCCTGCCCCGAAGAGACATCTTGAAGGGAACACTCTACTTGGTAGAGTTCAAAAAGTTTTCCAGCAGCTTAGAGTGGGCAAAACTTCCTCACCTGAAGAGACTTGAGGGCCCCAAGAGTTCCAATGGTATATGCTTCTCATTTGTTCATTCTCTTCTCATCTGTTTAACAGATATGTATTGAATACCTACTATGTGCCAGGGACTGGTGTGAGCACTAGGAAAGGAGCATTAAAAAAAACAGAACAAAAATCTCTGCCCTCCTGGACTTCCATTAGAGCAACCCTTACACCTTTTTAGATTTTTCTTTTAGACTTTTTCCATAAAAACATTTGTTTTGATATGCCTAAGAAGTTGTCCATATTTTTCATATAAACTTTTTGTAAATTTTGCTTCACAGATGTATTGCAGCTATAGGCTGTGCCTGTTAATAATTTATGATCTTTTTGTCTTTTTTTTTTTTGAGGATGTTACAATGCACATGCTACAATTTTTGGGTGTGTGGTTTTCCAGTCATTTCTATAGAAAAGCATATTTTTGGTAACAGTAGCTGTATTGCCATGTGAATATACCATATTTTCCCTGTTGTCTGCATTAAACATTACATCATAATACTTTCCTTTAATGCTCATGGACAGTTTCCTTGGCCTACATTTTTATTTTAGAAAATCTTTAAAATATGTAAAAATGTAGAAGGATTTGTGAGTGAATTTGCACTGCAGACTTAAAAAAAAAGACTCTAGGAATGATGGACTTACAGTGTTTATTTAAAAAAAAAACAACACCTCTCAACCCTTTCATCCAAAAGTGAAAACAGAACCATTTATGGGTTTTTTTGGGTATATATGTATTTTTATTTAAGTCTAGTCAGTTTACAATGTTGTGTCCATTTCTGCTGTACAGCATAATGCTTCACTCAAACCATTTATGGATTTTTACAAAGTCTGCTCTCCTAAATACACATCAAGTATTCCTCTTGTATTTCAAAGTCTTCCTTATAGTATTTTTCCGGAGTAACTTTTGCTTAATTTCCTGAGTAATTT